TGACATAATTCTGTACACAGAGTGTGTGTGTAGTGTGGTATCAGTATACAAATACTATATTATGTATTTGCCTCCATACGTTCTTGAAGAAACATTTTTCATTTCCTTAAAAGGGAAGGTTGTTCAGTAAAATAATAGGAGTGCCATGTACATTGTATTAGATTATACAACAAGAAAAGCCATCAACAATCTACCTCTGCATGATAAAGTCACACAAAAAAGTAACACAAACTGATTCGCTAATAATTACTTCTGCTGTGTGATTTCTCTGTCAAAACAAACCTTTACCTTTCCTTATTTACTTCATAAATTCCTGACTGTACTACTATTACGTAGTTTAGGCAAGAAAGAAGAAATTTACTGTGTCCACTGAAGCATTATATCTAAACTGTTAAAAGATAAAGCCACGGAATATGAAAAGGCAAACATCCAACTCCTGAGAAAAGTAAGCTTCAAACTCAGACTGAAATACTGTCCTTATAAAAACCTCCTGTACCTACAGATTTCAGGAACCAGGGTGGTCACAACTACCAACACCACAACATATATGGTATAATAAAGAAAATAAGATGAATTGAGAAATTGAATTAGCTGCTGTTTGCTTACAGCTGAGGATACACGAAGATTTGCTGCCACCTAGATACTGCACTTTTTTTCTGGATTAATTAAAAATGAAGGAATTTTAAAAAGAAAGGCATATAAATTGCATTCACAATTGCACCTGAGTAGGATGCAAACTGAACAGCAAATTATACCTTCTTTAAGGCATAACTCCTAGTGACATGGAACAGAATACAATCATGACACAGAGGGTTATCACTGACCCAACAAAACAAAAAATTCTGTTTTTCTGTAAAATAAGGATGAAAATAATCCTTTTGTTCTAATTCCTTGTAATCATTATTCTCCCTTTTCTGGGGAAGAGTTCAGACATCATATTGCCAGCTATAATACAGAGAAAAGAAGATGCAGGTGAAACTATTCTTCACCTCTATCTTTCTGTGAATGCAGTGCACTCGTTATGTAGTGACAATATGTTTGCAAGGGGATCAACATTAACTCTGGAGCAGAACGAAAAAATAACACATGGTTTTCTATGAAAAGTCAGTATTTTATTATAGTTATGAACAAGTAGGTAGTAACTGCAGTTAAAGACTGCCCTTTTCAACCATCATTAGAGTTACCTGAATTTAAAAGCAGATGCTCTCAGCAGTGGCAGTTCAACAAACAAGCAAAGACTACAGGAGTATCATTACTCTCCATTTGACTGATTCACTAACTTGATTCCATTTTCCTAAAAAGAAACAAGGAATTGCAGCAATAGCAATGTAAATAAATGGATTAGCACATTTTTTTCCTATCTGTGGTAGGTATGTTGGTCTGCCATTTTGGAAAACTTAGTGCTCACTCCTGAATTACACAGCCCTCTTTGCAGGTAAGCATTCAATTTGGGTCATCACAGAAATCCAAATGTCTCCTCACTGTCAAGACAGCAAAATGGTATCTATTTGAACAAAGAGAGAACTTACAAGTCTTAATTAGGGCAATCTTTTATGTGAAATACAGTCCTCGGAGCTCTAACTTCATGTTGATACTCTAAGACTGAAATATAAAGTCACAAATCTGGCCTCCTGACTGAGCTACCCCCACATACACACTTCATGTAATACCTATTAGATAGCTGATGAAAAAAAAAAAAAAAAAGCACGATCATTTCTTTCATTAAAACGTGTGAGTTGAAATATTGTGGATCTGTATTTCCCCAGGATATTTTTATAGCTAGGTATTTCTGCCCACTCAATTTGTAAGCATGAATTTGATAACATTCAGCTTGTCTTCTGAAGCATGTCAGTGGGTTTGCTTCATTTTTAACTCATAGGTAGACAATGGATGCCTGCAGCCTGTGCACACAATAGAATTTTTTGCATATGAGAAAAGAGAATTCAAAAGTACAGCAAATGCAAGGAAAAATATTATTTGTACGTCCTTAGTTTTTCTGTAGGAAACAAAACCAGAATTGCAGATGCCTGTGAGTGAACTAGCTGTGGTTAATCCTACATAGATATTCAGCTACTCGTCTAAATACTGAGATTAGCACTTATGTCAGTGGCATCAGGTAGCAGTAACAGAGAAAAGAATCCAGACAAATATCTGCTCCAGTATTGTCATTTTTCATCTCTCAAAATGCTGAAGCACTCTGGCCAAATCCTTAAAGTCTCTCCTACCCTGCAAGATTTGGCCAAAGGAACAGAAGTCTCGCAAGAGGCAGGCATTAGATTGCAACAGTCGATGTTTATGTTATTTCCACTTAACTTCAGGAGTATCAGCAGTCCTGCTGATTTCAGTGAGAGTTTTCAGGAGCTCAGAGCTCAGCAGGAATTCAAATGCTCTGCTGGCTTTAACTCAAATCATCTGGCAGGAAGGTCCTTGGTTTGCTTTGGAAACAGATGACATAGACTGTGCTTAGGAGATAGCTCCCTCTTCTGTTCTTGCTCAAACCAAACCAGTCCTCCGGAGCAGGGAAACTACTTCAAACCATTCACTACAGCAACGGAGCCCAGTACCACAGCACATTGCACAAAAGGGTGCACTGGGACACACTGGGACAGACCCCTTTCAGCCCAGCTTCTCCTTTTCTGCTCACTCCACAACCACTGCACAAGGTTGGGAAGTGTCAGTGTGTCCAACAACAGCTGAGAGACGTTAGAACAAAAGACTTCTTGGTCAGACACAGTCTTCCCAAAGAATTTCACACAGTCCAATGTGCCCTTGATGCTCATAAATAATGTACTATATATTCATTGATTATGAAATACCAGGAATAAACTTACTCTTCTCAGCTTTGTTGGGGAGCTGTCAAAAGCCCACCGAAGCTGGATTCTCTACCTCAACTTATGCTGAGCGTGAAGTAATAAACCATCCTGACAGTGGAAAGGATGAAGTGATGGGTTACTACTACCTTATATGCTCTGTCAAGCTGTATGAAACGAGTTGTATGGAGTCAGACCCTGTTGCTTCTGCTTCCACAGTGACTTACGAGCTGGCTCTCTGCACTCACAGGGAGCCGTGTAAGATTTAATAAATCATTCTGGAAGCAGAATATCGAAGGTGGCTCCGCAAGCACCAGTTCCAGTTCAAGTAACAGCTGGAGTTGTACCGCCTGGGTTTAGCCATGATCTGACATGGCTCAGATTTCCAGTATAGTACATAATGCAGAACTGACCCCTTGTGGATTTTAAGACGTAGGACTGTAATACTTGGGCCTGTTACTCAACAATCTTTTACAAATTAAGTTAGCTAACACAGGGGAATAACTGCGTAACGCTAGTAACTATTTTCAATCATTTTTTTTTTGTCCAGACAGGAAGCAAGTGCCACTCCTGGCCCATTTGCACCTCCAGTACATCCCCAGTTTGTTAATTCTCACAGCCCCTAGCATAAATATGGAAAGACACCTAATATATATCATTGCTTCCTCAGGACCTCAACAGGACCTCAACGCACTTTGTCTCAAGATTTATAAGAAATTAAACGGGAGACAAAATAATAATAATTTTTAAAAAAATTGTAGTTGCAGTTTTAGCATATTAATAAGGTTTTTCAGCATTTTAAAGAAATGCAACAAACCCAGGTGCTGTTAAATTTAGCACAACAGGAATACTACTTTATGGGCCACAGAAGGGGATGTTGACATGTGCCTTAGTTTATGGAGCAACAGGTGATATAAATTAGAAAATATTTCTACCAATTATAACCCACGCTTACTTCTAGCACTGGGAGTGCACCTCAGGACCAACACTCAGGGTGCCTAAACTCTATGGATGACTTTACTATTGACACGTGTGACCTGTAGCATGGATGATGCTCTCTACCTGCTTCAGTTTTCCCATCAGTAGTACGGGCAGAGTGATATTCACTCCCTGCTTAACGTTGTTTGAGAGCTGCTGACGAGGAGTGCTAGATAATAAGGCAGCAGTTTTTATTATGCAGATTTTCTATTTGCACGGACAGGGCACAGTTGCCCTGCAGTGCTCAAACCTCAAGCATCTTCAGAGGTTCAGAAACCCAGACTGGTTAAACTCTGATCAGAAGACTCAACCTGAAGCATTTCAAAACCCAACCCAAGTCACGGCCTCACTACAAAGTCAGCTTTGAGATGTGGCAGTCTGGGTCCTCCTGCTTTAGCAACCCTCAAATAAACAAAATCCCATGCCCTCCACTTTTCCCAAATTCTGCACATAAAAAAAATAATTAAAAAAAAATCAATTACGTTTATAAACCAGAGGAAAGCCAAAAATACATATTTGGAGGTCACAGAAGGAGGCTCTTCCAAACCTTTTACGTCAAAGTGAAGCAATGCAACACCATGAAAAAGAAATCTGAGCTAACTTTGAGCAAAATAGCTTGAGATACAGGAGCTGTGTGCCTGCACATCATGGTGTGTGTGTATGTTAATTGGGCTTATTCTAAATACTGCAATGACACGGTCTATCCTGCTTCAAAGTCACACCACAGTGTGTACAGCACTGTGCTGGTACTTAAAGCAGGTTTTTGGGTATGGCTTGGATATCTTGAGGCAGCACTGCACTGAACCATGTGGATCTATCCCTGCACTTGGCTGGCTTTCCTTCTTTTTATCTTCTGAGCTTTTCTGGATTTACCGCTGCAATATTTAGAGGTAGTGGATGACTTTTTTAGGTGGCAGTCCCCTGTACTGCTTAGATGTCTAAGTGGTCTAAGTCTGAAGTAGTAACTAGCTCTCTTTCAAAGCAGTGAAGAGAAAACAGCACTTCTAAGGTCTCTCCACTAACCAAGAAAAGAGTCTTGAGTGGTTTGGGATGTCAAAAGTTAGGAAGTTGAATCTTAAAACTTCTCTGCCTTTCAGTACCTTCACTTCTTCCAGCTACTTCCCCTCAATGAAATCAGAAATCTCAGTCACTCCAAGTCCTGCATCAGATTTCATCAATGTATTAATATAATATTCTTACAAATATTCATACCTGTGGCCTGACAATCGACTTTCGTTTTTCTTGAGTGACCTTTCTCTCTTCTCTCTCCCAGTCCCTGAATGTCTGTGAGAGGCACTCACTTTAAGGCTTTTTTCATTGCTGTCTGTACCAAAGCTCGGAACTGACTTTCTTTCTTCTGTCTTGGTCCTCTCTCTTTCAGATAGCAATTTGGCAAAAGAGTCATCTGTATCTTTGGGGATGTTTCTTAGTTTTTCAGAGGCTGAACTTGTGTGTGAGCTTGACACAGTCTTTGATGCCAGCTTCATATTTACTTGTGTTGAAGATCCTTTACTTCCCTGAAAATCAGTACTTGGGACACTCAGGTCATTTTCTTCATGTTCTTCACCCTTGAGCTGCGCTGTGCTGCTTACACTAGTGGATCGTTTTGAAAGCCTCCTTTTTTGCAGATCCTAGAAATAAGTGCCATTAAAACCATAGATTAAAATTTGAGTATGTTTAAATAAACATGAGACACAAAGGAAAGCTCTATCAATAATTTCTGGGCTAAGCAATTGCTTCATTATTGGGAACCAAGTTAAATAGTAAGTCAGTTTTTTTTTTTTTAAAATATGATAAATAAGAAAAGACATATACTTTTACTTAAAATTTGAACAGTATTAAAGATGCTGTATACCTTAAAAAAACTGCTTTCTTTACTGAAGAGCATCAACAAAATGCCTCCTAAAAGCTTAATTTTGGGGTTGTACCCAAGCCAGAGGAAACCAAAACATACAAGACATTTTACTGGAAAGACTGCCTACTGCAGGTATCTAGTCTTTATTTCCAAATCAGAGATATTTAGAAAAATCCAACTAATTCATTTGACATTTATATTCTCTTGAGTATTATCTAAATCGTATGTTTAAAATGTTTCACTTTCTCATTATTACAAGCCTAATTTTACACGGGGAAAGCTCCTGTCTACATAAAAGCAGCATGAATGGAAAATAAAATAAAATAAAATAAAAAAAGAATTTGAGAACTGTGTTTTGAAAATACCTACTGATAGAATTTGGTCCCATCAGACTGTATTCTAACTGAAAAGTAATCTTCAACTCCAAACTCCTACTGATTACATGTGGGGTTTCAAATAAACCTGAGTAAATCGTAGCTAAGAAAACATTGAAAGTAGTAGATACTGCTAAGATAAAAAAAAGCAATTTTCCTGGGAAAATTGAAAATCACATCTGTAAAGAGGTAAGAGACATCAAAAATGGAAAACATTTATAAAGAAATTCTGTAACCTAAAATCACAGACAAGCAGAGGGTTGTGTTTGTGTCTGAAACAGTTGAATTTCTGAATTAACCGGAACCACTGCCCTAACTTAAGACACATACTCAGATTGCAGATTGAATGGATTAGCATGCAGCAGTCATTTAAATATTATTTGCAAGTTACTTTATCGCAGGTTAGATATGAAATCCAAGCCAAGTATTTTGTAAGTGCTAGAAATCACCTCTGGGGAACTGGCTACTGGTCCAGCCATCATTCCTCTGACAACGAGACCAGACCTGAGCTTTGGCTTCTCCTTCAGTGTGGATTTCAGCTCCTCAGAAATCATCACTGCTTTTAAATCTTCTCGACTATCTTTTAACTTCTTATCCCCATCAGAGGGTACGTGGCTGTTGTGTATTGTCCCTGTGTGGCATTTCTCACTTTTGTGCTGATGTTTTCTGGATGGAACGATTTTATCTGTTGGATTCTCAACATCGTATCTACAAGGAAGGAAAAGGCAAAACTTGAAACAGCAAAACGATGCACAATGAAATCAACAAAAACATCTGCTTGGCTAATTAAAGCCCTGCTGTCAAAGTTACTTGTTATCTAGCAATGGTTCACAAATACAACCACTTTTCACTTAAACATCTATATGCAGATCTTCAGGGCGTTATTTCAATATCATTATTATTTGTTACAATATGTATAACACTTTAATCTTATGCTTACTTATTTTGATATGTATCGTATCATAACAGAAAGCAAACTACACATATAGCAGACAGGTCCTAAGCTACCACCAGCAGTTCCCATTCCTTCTCCATCTGCTTGGTTGGCAGTCTGAAAATTTGTTAATGCTTTTGCTAACATTCTCTTTTATCATATAACTTAGACTGACTCTACAGATTGGGTCTCTTTCACTCTTTGTTCAAATGCAAAATGCTTACTTTAGTTCAAAAGAGAGGTACTTTTGCGTTTGGGCTATTCCTTGACAATAGGTTGCTACATTGCTGTCACTGGACCTTTTCCATATTCTTCAGCCTGATCCTCCAGCAAGCAAAGCAAGGTGTAGTTCACTGTTTGCATCTGGTTTCCTACACATATGTTTGGGCTATTCCTTGACAATAGGTTGCTACATTGCTGTCACTGGACCTTTTCCATATTCTTCAGCCTGATCCTCCAGCAAGCAAAGCAAGGTGTAGTTCACTGTTTGCATCTGGTTTCCTACACATATATAATGCTATAAACAAGCTTCTCTGAAAAGCAAGAGAAATTCACCAGGTCTGTGATTTCATTTGTTCAACACCATATGCACTTCTTTCTTTAAAATATCTTTAAACAAATCATGTTCTCACTAAAATGTCATCATTTGTGCCTGTAAGAAATCAAGTCTGATTGTCTTCCTCAGGGTCTTTTTCACCGTCTGCATAATATCAGGTCACTGTTAAATGGAAGTTCTTCTACTGAATATTTCCCATTCCACTGAGACCTCTTTTGTGTAGGTTGATAAATTTATATTCTGTTTTTTCACTTCAGGATGTTTTTCTCCAACCTGTTTCACAGTAAAGCAATTCCATCATTCAAAAGCATTTTGTATCACAAAACCACTCCCTTATTTAACCAGCTACAAATTATTTTTTGAAGTAGTATGTCTCGTGCTGTGAAGACATGCTGCATACGTAAACTGAAGGGAATATGGCCAATCTCTGGGAGCACTAGGAAATCCGAGGGCGGTTATTACAAACCTGGGACCACGTAACCCCTCATTGCCAAAGGCCACAGTGTGTGAGACTGTTTATAACAGTTACAGACATTAAAACTTCAAGAGGTAAGCTAAAAGGAAAGTGGACTCTTTAGTAAAGAACCACTTAAGAGTCAAATTATGTTCTCTACTCCCCCAGGAGTGCTTACGTGCATCCCAGGCTCAAATTCTCAAGATGGTTTTGGAATAAAACTAATTTACGAATACTGATTTATAATCAGGACTGGCCCCAAAACTCACATTACCATCACACTCGCTCAGCCCATTTTGCCTTCCTTGCACCTCCAGCCTCCCCCACCTCAGGAAGGCGCAACTGGTGAGGCTGGTGCTTATGAAGGCATTGAAAATACATGCAAAATCACACAGGGTTTAGATGGAAATCTGCAAGTCAATACAGGATTTTGGCCTCTCCGGAGCTGTCAGCTGTCAGTGTGTGGCTGCGTAATGTTTCCAAGCTGGTATACACGCAACAGGTTGGGCATTTCTGGATTTCGCTTTCAGATTTTCCTTTAATCTTGCCATGTCTGGGTCCTCCCTACCCTACTGGGCACTGGTGGATACTTCTCCCCTTGAGGGCCAGTGCTGGCGCCACGCTGGTGAGGGACCCTTCCTCACAGCACCACACCGTTTCCCCATTGCTTCGGCGTGCGTGGCTTTATTTTGCTATTTTGTGTTCGTGTACGTGTGTCAGGGTGTGCTTCTGTGTGAGATGGGGTTCAACCCAACAACCACACTCCGCCTGTCCCTCCAGTGGAGGACTAAAACCATAGAGTGCTCCTCCAGCGCCGGGCAGAGAGGCGCCATGATGCTCCGCTTCCAGAGCGACGGCGGCCGCTCTAGGCCCGCGGCCGAACACTCGCTTTCCCGCCCCCTCCCGCCTCGAGTGCCGCCAGCGCGCACGCGCAGGGCGGGCCGTGACTGCCTGAGGGAGAGGGGGAGGCGGCCGCCATTTTGTTGAGGGTCGATAGAGGGAGTGAGGTGTCCGGTTAACTCCGCTGGGCGCTGCTATTTAGTGGAATTCTCTGTAAAAAAAAGCTTTCCGCTCTAATAAGAAAAGTCCGCAGGCACTGGGGAGGCTCGCAGGGGGGCTGGAACACCTTGCAGTGGCTAGGGGAAGGAGAAAAAAAATGAGGCAGGTACGAGCTCTGAGGCAGCATGAGGCAGAATTGTGTCAGACGGGGAGAGATGACGACTGACAACATGCCAAAAGCTTCTGTATCTGAAAAAGAGAAGCAGCAAATTCTTTTGCACTGCCGCCTTTTCAAGTGTCACTTCTCAGCTGGTAGCATCGACTTAGAAAATCTTGGCTTTTTTACCCTGTAAGGAAGGACTTGCTGGGGTTTTGCAAGGACTGATGCTCAGACTTCACTACTTTGAGCATGCTGCGTTTAGGATGAGGAATAAAATTAGATTAATACCCTGAGAGTCAGGGCTGAGAAGGTGAATTACTCCTTTGTGCTGATTTTAAAAGCTAGCTATTGAAGCACAGTTAGGGCTGTTACTCTGCCTTGAGGCACTAATAAGTGCAATTGAAAGACTTGGTTACATGCTGTTTTCAGATATTTTGCAGCACAGAAGTGACATACTGTTCATAACAATACTGAATTTAAGATAGAAGGCCTTGCTTTTGACTACGTAAGGCATGAATATACCTGTAGTTTGAGTTCAGGTGGTTAGTTTCTCATCAGAATATGCTTCAATTTGAGTATTTCCAATTTACAAGGCATAAGAGCTCAGATTCTATGTACTTCAGTGACTGGAAGATGTGATTATCAATCTTCGTAATTCATAGAATCATAGAGGTTGGAAGAGACCCTTGGGATCATCGAGTCCAACCATCTCCCCTACTCTACAAAGTCCTCCCCTACACCATATCCCTCAGTACCGCATCTAAACGTCCACCCCCTCCCTGGGCAGCCTGTTCCAATGCCCGACCACTCTTTCAGTGAAAAATTCCTTCCTAATGTTCAATCTAAACCTACCCTGTTGGAGCTTGAAGCCGTTCCCTCTCGTTCTATTGTTAATTACCTGTGAGAAGAGACCAGCACCAACCTCTCTACAGTGTCCTTTCAAGTAGTTGTAGAGAGTGATGAGGTCTCCCCTCAGCCTCCTCTTCCTCATACTAAACAGTCGTACCTGTAGGCTTGAGTTTCACTTTCATCAAGCGTGGTGGCGTTCCCCCGCAGATGGTCTTCATCCAAGATGTCAGGGGGATGAGATGTTGAGCTCTTACTTTGCAGAGCCGAAAGAGCAGAACTTGAACTGATGCCTCGGGAAGTCCCACGGTGCTCAAGGAAGTAATTAGTAATAATTTCAAGAAGTGTTTTCAGTGGGTTCTCCTTTGCCTGTCCGAAAAAGAAAAATGAAGTTCTTGGTGACTATTGAAACTTTGTTAGTCTTGCTGCAGCCTAGAAGAGGATATTCCTTTTACACTGTTGAGTAGCTGAAAACATTAACTGCTTTCTAGAGATGGCTGCTTGAGGATTTACCACAGATGTGAGAATAAATGCTATAGGAAGGTTGAAGGTGTCAGCTAGGGAATGTCAAGAGCTCAAAGGTGTTGCTGTGTTACATGAAGTAAGCACCTGATGCAGAACATTGCAAAATACAGTAACTGCTAGAATACACCTTTTCTAATGTTACCTATCAACTTCAGAAAAATAACTGCAAGTATTTTTAGTACCTGTCTTTAGTATTTGTGGTTTATTTTATCAGAACTTGGTGGAAAACATGAACCCCAGAACTCCATTCATGTGCTTGGCATAACTCTGGTGTAGAGCAACTCCCCCGCGTGTTACACTGTATTTCAACAGTACCCTGGAAGAAGCGTACTGTGTTTCTCAGCATTTCATTAAAAAAAAAAAAAAAAAAAAAACAAAACCAAAAACCAAAACATAAAACACCATCGAAATTTAGGGCTTAAGTAAAAATTAGTGCAGTGTCTGCTATAGTGTTGTAAGCACAGTGATTTTTTTCCAAGTGACTTTCTGGATAGTCTCATGCCTTAACTCATGAACGGCAGCTCATGAGTTGGCTCTAGGGACTAAGCCAAATTACCCATTGATATCCCTGACATCAAATATCACTGTCCACGTTACATTTCAAAGAATAATAAATGCTAGAAGTGTAATTTTATCTGCCGGGTCTTATATAAAGTTGCAAATAGATGTGTATGGGTACTTCCAAATTTGAGTAATGCAGCCGTATCAATGGGAAGGGTGTTAAAGTGATTAACTGCTCCTGGTTTATTGGAGGCTGCAGTTTCTAAGGAGGATTCATGAAGTCCCAGGTTCTCAGCTTCGTCCCATGAGCTCCAGTCTCACCTAAATGTTCTCCGTTCTTCAGAGAACCATGAGTGTGTCCGCAGCAGTGCAGTACCAGACACCAGCTTGAGTTCTCTGCAGTTTGGTGTGGTCTTGACCTGGTTGGCCTAGTTTCATGGGATCTGATACCACATGTTGGGGAGCACAATCTCTTTCCTTACCTTGTTCTGCTTGTACAAGGAGTGTAGATGTAGGACGTTTCGAAGTTCATTCCTGTTATTGATGCTCAGTGCAGAACGTGGAAGCTCCCGGTCCATGGTAGTGATGGTTTTCTTCAATCCCTGGGAAGGAAAAGCGTTAAGATTTCAGAGTACTTGAGACAGCACAACTTACCAAAGCGTTTGTTCTTGGCTTTGTTGGGTGTAGTATGAAACTTGGTAACAAGCTAACCCTTAGAATCTGTACTTCAAAGGTACAATCTTGCATTATTACAGTCCACAGATGTGAAAATAACTAAGGTGGCTCTGTTGTCTGTGGATGGAAATTACTGAACATGAAAAAAAAACCCCAAACTTCCACGCAGGTGACTTCAGCTGCTAAACAGCCTCATGGGACAGACTGGGCTGTACGAAGGCTCCTGCTAATACCTGGGCTTCTGGTTCTGAGTTTGCTTTTTCCATCAAGGCGTGATACAACTTTTCATAACTGTGATTCTGACTTCAGCAATTACAAAGTCTAAACATCAGAGGTACTCTAACTCTTAGGAGTTTCAGAACAGATTTCAGAACCTTTATCAAGAGCTGCAGTTATTCCAGCCAGTTTCAGGTTGGAAATCAGTCAGTTCTCCACGGCATCAGCCAGTTTGGGGTTTTCAGACTTCTTAACTACTTCGTAGTCAACTTATGGGGGCACTTCAGAGACAAAATGTACAGGAGTCTCACCGCCTGGAGGCAGAGACTGATTTATTGTGAAATGTCAGAGTCAGATCCCAAACTAATTCAAATGGTACAACACCGGATCACCATTTTGAGAGAGAAAGTCCTGATTTCTTCTCTAAAGGGCTATTGTTCCAAGAAAGGATTTATTTTTCTGCAGCTGGATTGTCTGGCTCAGATTTAGGGAACTACGGAGAAGTTGTGGGAAGTAAAGGACGGTTCTCAAAGTTGGCTCTGATGGGTATTAAAGCTTTGGGGGAAGCAGGGGAACACTTGTGAAGAAGAATAATGGATCTCGGTGCCACTTGGGTTTGACTCCAGAGTATGTAGTATGAAATAGATGTGGCAATTCAAGTTTAAGTTACTGTTGTGAGCTGTATGGTCTGTCTGTGCTTTTATTTGTTTTTCCATTTACATGTATCTAACTCAGAAATATAAATGTCTTTCATTTGAAAAATCTCTGCAGTCAGTTGAACAGACAGACTTGAACCTCTCATACTTCTGGCAGTAAATGGCACATGATGAATTCTGCATCCGAAATTCTGCTGGCAAATGCTTCAGCTTCATTCATGAAAACTGAAAATGAGCATTTGGAGACCGGATGCAAAACAGATGAAGAAAATTGAGGTTTGTGTAGCGCTTAATAAAGCAGTGTCTGTTTAATTTCTGTTAGAAGCTAACTCATTCCTGACACTGGGGGCTGACCGGGCTGGGCACCCGCAATCTTTCCTTAGGATTTAACAAAAATACGAGGCGGTAGCTACTTTCACCTGGAAATGTGAAGGTGCCTTTCCTTCTGCTCCACCCCGCGCTCCCCACACCTATCAACACTACAAAGTTTCCTTTACAGCATTAAGTTTGTGAGAAGTAAGGGCCTCTTGTCTCCCCTTCTCCCTGTCCCCTTCCCCCAGATTAATCTGCTGTCTGTACAGCTGTTACTGAAAACTGGGGAAAAAAAACCTGAAATATGTTACTAGTTCCTCTAGCACTGCTACCTTTTGCCATTTTTTTTTAATGTATTTTTCCTGGGAAGTTGTGTATGCCTTATGTAAACACAAGGACAATAGCAAGAACGGTAATTAACGAGAAAAAAAAAAAAAATGTTACTAGTTCCTCTAGCACTGCTACCTTTTGCCTTTTTTTTTTTATATGTATTTTTCCTGAGAAGTTGTGTGTGCCTTATGTAAACACAAGGACAATAGCAAGAACGGTAATTAACGAGAAAAAACCAAACAAACTGAACCCGCGTTGCTTGATTTAAGGCTTTCTCAAGCAAGCAGGAAGCTGGCTTCCATATCCAGCGCGGACAAGGCATTGTGGGAGATGTAGTGCAGATACTTACCCGAGAGGCTCGTTACGGTTCGCTCCGGCTGCTTCCAGGCTGGAAGAAGTCCCCCCTCCCAGCTGTCCTCAATCTTTTTACCACTTTAACATTTTTCCTGTGTCATTCTCATTTGTACTAGCTGGAGAAAAGCGAGACAAGTTACCTTTCTACTGAGAAACTCCCTCACCAGTGATGCAGCCACTTCTTCCACAAAGGAGTTATCCATTTTTTAGCCCAAAGTGCGCTTAGGGGGCGTATCCTTCCCTTCCATCCGGCAGATGGCTGGAGCCCGCCGGCATGGCCGCTCTTCGGGGCGGCTTTTAACCGCTGCAGCCCTGGAGCAGCGCGGGGCTGGAGGTATGTTGCTCTGGAGACCGTGTCATCGGAAGCTGGGAGAACTCCTCCCCCTGGGAAGGAAGCCGCTGGTAGACTTAAAATTCAAAGAGCTCGTGGTGTAACGCTGCAGCAAGCAGCTCGGTGATTGCTTTCGTTAATAACATTTGAGAAAGGAACCTTCAACCTGAGAGAGGGGACAGTTTTCTGATTTTTTTTTTTTTTTAAAGAATCTTACACAGTTATTTGCAACCTATTACTCCTGCATTAATGCAACTTTGAACCATAGATGTTTGTTTAGTAAAAATGCACTCTTGTTTAAAACAAACAAAAAATGCTAATTTAAAGCTTAATCTCTCATATTGGCAACACCTGGGGCTGGGGAGAGAGCATATATCAGGTGAATCTTTCCTTTCAGATTGCACCTACATTAGCCAGTAATTTCACAGAGGCACCGCCTGGCCTTGCTGATGGGCTCAGCTGTGTCCTGCCCATCATGGAGTGGTCTGGAACCAGCATGGGGGCAGCCCCTGGTCCTTTCTCACACAGGCCACCGCTGCAGCCACTCCCCACCCTCCTCCTTCCAATGCCTTGCCAGGTGAACCCAATACACTAATTTTCCCCTAATTCCAGGGGAGGGGGGGGTGGGAGGGAAGAGAGAGGGGGTTAGGAAATCAGTATTGATCAGATGAGAGCAACAGACTGCAAAAGGAGGTTCTGCAGGTGATGGTGCAGTGGGAAGCTATAGGAGGCCTGTGGAGAAAGTTCTATCAAGCTCCAACAGGGTAGGTTTAGACTGAACGAATTTTTTACAGAACGAGTGGTCAGACACTGGAACAGGCTGCCCAGGGAGGGGGTTGAGTCACCACCCCTGGATGTGTTTAAGGGCCGTTTAGATGTGGTGTTGGGGGATATGGTGTAGGGGAGAACTTTGTAGAGTAGGGTAGATGGTTGGACACGATGATCCCAAGGGTCTCTTCCAACCTGAATGATTCTATGATTTTGTGATTCAATATGTTCCTGGGTAGCGCGTGGGGGAAAGATCTTAAGTGCAGATAGTGAAATACAAAAGTGGTGTAATAAAATGCAGTGACAAAGATCAGGTCTTAAAATATGTTTCTGGGTAGCACGTGGGGGAAAGATCTTAAGTGCAGATAGTGAAATACAAAAGTGGTGTAATAAAATGCAGTGACAAAGATCAGGTCTTAAGAGCTTTTACTTCTGAATGTCTTACAGTCTTTTATCCTCCGTTTCTCTTAGAAAAAATGAATATTGTTATGCATTTACAAAAAAAATACGGCGCTGTTGAGAATCACAGAATCAGAATGGTTTGGGTTGGAATACAGTGCTGTTGAGAATCATAGAATCAGAATGGTTTGGGTTGGAAGGAACCTTAAAGATCACCTAGTTCTAACCCCGCTGCCTTGGGCAGGGACACCTTCTGTTAGACCAGGCTGCTGAAAGGTTTACCTCTAGCCAGCTTCTGATACCTCTCTTACCCTCACAAGAGAGGTAGCAGCTCCTAAAGTTAATTTTCCCGAGCTGTGTGTGCCAGGAATGCCCTCTGGCGCCCACGGGTCCATATTGCAGCACCGAGAAAAGCTCTTGTCATGCAGCTCCTGATTTGGGTACAGATCCCGTGACTTTGGTAGCCCCCGTACACCTGGCTGTTGCAGTGACAGTGTTCTCAAGGTTTCACTTAACGCTTACTAGTAAAACTAGGTTGATTATAACCCGGCAAAGAGATGACATGAGGTGGTGATGCAGGGATTGATTTTCCCTGAAGTAGCTCTCAGAGCTCCTAACAGCGGGGATTCGCATGCGCTGTGATGCAAGGTCTCTCAAGGACACAGAGAGAAATCAGGGAAGTGCATTTCAAAGCTGGGGAAGGTTTACCTTTAAGCTATGCCAAAGAATAGTGGGCTTCTGAAACAGAGTTTCTGTAGCAGCCCTCTTAAAAAAACAGATTTTGTTTTACCTTTATCGTTAACTAATATGCCTGAAGTGTCTCATTCTTGGTGCATCCACTGCAGTGGTTACAGTATACAGTGAACATACCTGTTACACGGACTGAGTGGTGGTCGAGCCCAGTATCCATGTGTATGAAGAAGTACTCAGTGGGCTCAGTTAGGTCTCAATCATTGCAAAATGAGGTGCCAATGAAATGCTCCACCTCCCTGTAGCCCAAGGCAAGCACTGCTGGGGTCATGGTGTTCCTCAGCTGAATGAGGTTGCATCAGGCGGTGGGAAATGGGATGTGCTATTTCTATAGAAAATTAATGTAAGAAAGTTCAGGGTGAAATCCTATGGAAGGGGGTTTTTTTACTGTGCAAAATCTTTCTTCCTTTACATACCTTTTCTGCTAGTAAATGTGTTACCCACATACTCAGAAGCACCAAAGCCTGTGTTGGTGCTTCTGGGTCTGGGCAGGATGCGACAGAGGGAGGGACAAGGGACACCAGCTGTCAAACCCTCACTCTGTCTTTTGGGTTCCTCTTGATCAAGGGTTACCACATCATGGGTAAGGGCTGGTGACATCTCCAGCAAGGCTGCAGTCCCACATTACACAACCAGGGCAGATCTATCTGGAAAATGCACTGTCTATAGACAGATAGCCCAGACATGGGGAAGTCCTGTTCCCGAATGCTATATCAACAAAAAAGAATTACTTAAAAGCATTGACTAGACTGTGTTTCTCCAAACTTACTGCCTAGTCTGGAGCACTTTTCTCACAGCCTCCTGGATCTCTGTAACTGCATATTTTGATAGTTGTAGTTAATAGTGATAATGCCAAGACATTTCTCTGCAACAGCAAGACAAGCTGAGTCATCCCTAGTGTTACCAGTGTAGTATCTTGTGCCACCACTACTCACGGTGTGCTCTACAGCCTAGTTTGATCAGAGAACAGAGTTTGGAGCTCTGCATGGACAGTGCTCCTCAAGTTTGAGAAACAGGGTTGCAGGAGAAGAGGTCTATAGTTGAGGTGTTTTACTTGAGCTAGTTAGTTTTCCACCCCTCTTTTACTATGATTTGAACACTGAGGGGAAAAAAAGAGAAAACAATTTGAGAAACACTTCTATCTTACCCTTTCCCAGTCTTATTTCACGGGTTTGACAGAGTTGGAAGGTACCTCTAGAGACCATCTAGTCCAACTCCCCTGCTAAGCAGGATTGCCTAGAGCACATTCCCACTGTTGCCTCATTTGTCTTAGGGCAGCCTGGAAGTGATTTTGCCTGACACACGGTGTCATTCCCAACAGGTCACTGTTGCAGCCCACTGCTTCTTACAGCCTCACAGGTTTCTGGGTTTAATTAGTCTTCAGACTCACAAATATCGCTACCCCAGGTTTCAGGATCCCAGTCGGTGACGATGTCAGGCACCGAGCTCACCGCCTGTTCCCTCACAGCTGGGGTCACATGGCGTGTAGTTTAATTTGGCTGGTTCAGCACCACTAGGTACTGGATGCATGTGGTCCAGAAACATTCTTCTGGTTGGGGGCTAAGGGAAATGGTGTCAGAAACGTGAGTGACAGTTCCAGCAATCCAGAAAATGTGAGGTCTGGGAAGACTTTGTAAAATACTCTTTGAACATTGTGGTGTCTGTAAATACCATTATTTTCCAGAGTGAGTAATGCGCAATGAGTAGAATAAATATGGCTTTTAAAAGGCACTTAGAGTTAGCTGACATCTTTTTGGTACAGGATTTGGAATACAATAGAGTCTTATATCAATGCAAAGTAATTAGAATAAGTTATGTATTGCTTGTATAATTGCACACAATTATGTATGTGCTGCAGTTTGTTTACTCCTCTTGTTTTCCACTCTGTGCTATGGAGAAGATAATTGCACTTAAGGCTGATCTTTTATATGCTGTTTCAGATGACCTTTATTTGTCTAGTTAATGTTCCTGTGTTTTTTTGTAAAAATGCAGAACATCTCATTGTATGTTAAAGGATAAAGTGAAATGTAGAAAGATTTTCTAAATGTGAAGTGCATAAACTTTTTGTGAACAAAAGGTGTTTTTGTAAATAAGGGTTTTGGAGGGTGACTGATTTGCACAGGAAAGGACTTGACTGATATTTGAGGTGCTAAACAAGAAAGCTGGTTGAGCTCCTTGTTGCCAAAGCATTCATTAACGTCTACTGTTGTTTATTTTCTGTTGCCGGTCTTTTTTTCAGCCCTTAGCTCAATCAGAGGGGTGGGAGGAAAAGGAGGTTAAAAGCATGAGAAAGAAGCAGATGAGTCAGACCTCTGTATACACCCAGCCCCACAGAACAGAGAGACACTTACCCAGGACCATAGTTAGAAATAAAGTGTAATGAGGAGACAGGACAGACTTTGCTGACCAGGTGCAGAAAGACAAGCACACTGACCAGCCCTGGCTAACACACATCCAGCCCCTTCTAACTCCTTATCTTTCTATTTTCATGTATCTAATCTTTCCAAATAACCTTGATCCCTACTTTTCCCTGCCTTTGCTTCCTTCCCTAAACATCCCTAGTAGGTTCTGAGCAATCCTCTGGTGCTCTTTCCCTACATCTTTGTTTTTAATCATTCTTTAGGTTCATTGATAATGAAAGAGTCATGTGTCTGGTTCTCTTCCTACTGAGAAAGCAGTTCCTATCCCTGATACTTACCCTCCTTGGTTATGGCTTGAGACTTTGTCTAAATGGGATGGGTGTGGAACTACCAAGTGTTGGTGTGTCCTCTATCATTTGAGACCTTTGGAAGGAAGAGTGGGTATTGACAGTACAGATGTACCTGAGTGGATTTAAAGAGGTTTTTTGGATGGCATGGTAGCCCCTTGACTGATTTGACCAGAATCTGTGGTGAACCAGATTCCTTTCTGCTTTAAAATAAATAAATAAATAAATAAATAAATACTGTGTGTAGCTATAATTTCACCCTACAATTTAAATCTCCTTTCTTTGTGTCGCCTGGTATAATGGATTGATCTTTGCATGTCTGCATTATATGGATGCAATTTTCTCTCCTTTGTGATTCATGTTCTCTTATTCACATGAATAATTGTCTTCCC